AAAATAAAATAGGAATATACCTAACTCAGGAGGTGAAAGACCTCTGCAAAGAAAACTATAAAACGCTGCTGAAAGAAATCATAGATGACACAAATAAATGGAAATACATCCCACACTCATCGATGGGTAGGATCAATATTGTGAAAATGACCATACTGCCAAAAACAATCTACAAATTCAATGCAGTTCCCATCAAAATACCAGATCTGTGAAAACAGAACTAGAAAAAAAATTCCTAAAATTCATATGGAACCAAAAAAGAGCCTGCTTAGCCAAAGCAAGATTAAGCAAAAAGAACAAATCTGGAGGTATCACGTTACCTAACTTAAAACTATACTATAAGGCCATAGTCACTAAAATAGCATGGTACTATAATAAAAATGGCACATAGAGCAATGGAACAGAATGGAGAACCCAGAAATAAAGCCAAATACTTACAGTCAACTGATCTTTGACAAAGCAAACAAAAACATATAAAGCGGGGAAAGGACATCTTATTCAACAAATAGTGCTGGGATAATTGGCAAGCCACATGTAGAAGAATGAAATGGGATCCTTGTCTCTTACCTTATACAAAAATCAACTCAAAGTGGATCAAGGACTTAAATCTAAGACCTGAAACCATAAAAAGTCTAGAACATAATGTCAGAAAAACCCTACTAGACATTGTCTTAGGAAAAGACTTCATGACAAAGAACCCAAAAGCAAATGCAATGAAAGCAAAGATAAAATACTTAAATTAAAAAGTTTCTTCACAGAAAAAGAAACAATCAGCAAACAGACAACCCACAGAACGGAAGAAAATATCTGCAATCTATACATCCAACAAACGACTAATATTCAGAATATACAAGGAACTCAAACAAATCAGCAAGAAAAAAAAAAACCAATCCCAACAAAAATTGGGCTAAGAACATGAACAGACAATTCTCAAAAGAAGATATACAAATAGCCAATAAACATATGAAAAAATGCCCAACATCACTAATTATTAGGGAAATGCAAATTGAAAACCACCATGTGATACCACCTTACTCCTGGAAGAATGGCCAAAATAAAAAACTAAAAATAAAAATAAAAATAGATGTTGGTGTGGACGTGTTAAAAAGGGAACACTTCTACACTGCCGGTTGGAATGTAAGCTAGTATAACCACTATGGAAAACAATGTAGAGATGCCTTAAAGAACCAAAAGTAGAACTACCATTTATTTGATCCAGCAATCCCACTACTGGGTATCTACACAGAGGAAAAGAAGTCATTATACAAAAAAAAGATACTAGCACATGCATGTTTATAGCAGCAAAATTTGCAATTACAAAAACATGGGTCCAGTCCAAACGTCTATTAATCAATGAAGAAACTGTGGTATATATACCATGGAATACTACTCAGCCATAAAAAGAAATGAAATAATGACATTCACAGCAACCCAGATGGAATTGGAGACCATTATTCCAGGTGAAGTAACTCATGAATTTTTCAAAACCAAAACCAAACATAGTATGTTCTCACTCCTAAGTGGGAGCTAAGCTATGAGGACACAAAGGCCCCTTTAATCTACAACTCTAAGACCTATTCCTTTCCTTCTCCCCCCAGGGGAATCAATTGTATGGCTTCTAAATATTATACAAGCCTAAAGTATTTTTATGCTGTTTTTTAGAATTTAATATTTTATATGATTTCTCAGGTCCCCTCTATTTCTTCTCATTTTTTTAATTTTTGATATATCATAGGTGTACTTCTTTTGGGAGTACATGTGATATTTTCATACACGTGTATGACGTGTAATGACTAAATCAGGGTTAACTGGGATATCCATCACCACAAACATAAAGTTGAGAAAATTACATTTCTTCTAGCTATTTTGAAATGTAAAATAATTAATGAAACATAAAATAAAAATAATAGTAATAAGGCTGGGTGCGGTGGCTCATGCCTGTAATCCCAGCACTTTGGAAGGCCAAGGGGCAGATCACAAGATCAAGAGTTCAAGACCGGCCTGGCCAACGTGATGAAACCCTGTCTCTACTAAAAATACAAAAATTATCTGGGTGTGGTGGCGGGCACCTGTAATCCCACACAGGAGGCTGAGGCAGGAGAACTGCTTGAACCCAAGAGGCAGAGGTTGCAGTGAGCTGAGACTGTACCATTGCACTCCAGCCTGGGTGACACAGTAAGATTCCATCTCGGAAAAAATATAATAATAATAAATTTCCCTATGTATTATCAAATACTAAAACTTATTCCTTCTATCCAAGTGCATTTTTTTTTCTTTGAGATGGAGTCTTGCTCTGTCGCCCAGGCTGGAGTGCAGTGGTGCAACCTCAGCTCACTGCAACCTCTACCTCCCAAGTTCAAGCGATTCTCCTGCCTCAGGCTCCCAGGTAGCTGGGATTATAGGAGTGCGCCATCACACCCAGCTAATTTTTTCTATCTTCATTAGAGATGGGGTTTCACCATGTTGGCCAGGCTGGTCTCAAACTTCTGACCTTGTGATCCACCCACCTCAGCCTCCCAGAGTGCTGGGATTATAGGCATGAGCCACTGTGCCTGGCCCCCAACTGTATTTTTGTAGCCATTATCCAACTGCTTTCATCCCACTCCCCTCCAGTTCTGAAACACACACACAATTCTATTAATGTAAGTTCAACTTTTTCTCCTAAAAGTTCCACATGAATTTATAAGTTATACACTTTGAGTATATCTATACAGTAAACTATAACATATAGTAAGCAACTATTGCATAATTATTATGATACATAATTGTAATCTCTGTGTATGAGTGTTACGTTACAATCATACTGATTTGATACAGCAAACACATTGCTAGTACATCTATAAATCCTTTACAGTCCTGTGCACAAAAAAATATTTCAGGGTTTGGTTTGTCACCCTAATAGATCTTGCACTTGCTTTCTAATCACTAAATCCTCTCTGAATTTTTGGATGTTTGATTTTTATAAAGTTGAGTTTTATTATTTTTAAATCTCTTCTCACCTCTTGGGGGAAAATATACAACAAAATTTCATCCATCTAAGCTCCATTCATTCGGATTTGATGAGTTTGGATGATGGCTTGGTTAGAATTTATACACTAAAATCTATAATTTAAATATATGTGATATGCTAGCTACCTTCATTTTTATTAAAGCAACTCCCAAAGATCCTTGCTTTACAAAGTTTTATCAGCCAATTATGAGCTACTCTATCGTTTAAATATTTTTGAAGTATGTATTACATAATCTATGTTTCATTAATCCACACATACTACCACCCACCCAAATTAATGAGATACTGAGAAATTATTTATCTTAACTAATTGCATTACAGAGCTACACCAAGTTCTAAAATATTCAAAACACCACATATTAATAATTTATATTCATCTTTTCAAAGACAGAATACAGGCCAGGTACAGTGGCTCACACCTGTAATCCCAGCACTTCAGGAGGCCGAGGCAGGTGGATTGCCTGAGCTCGGGAGTTCAAGACCAGCCTGGGCAACATGGCAAAACCCCGTCTCTACTAAAAATTCAAAAAATTAGCTGGGTGTGGTGGTGTGTGCCTGCAAACCCAGCTACTCAGGAGGCTGAGGCATGAGAATCACTTGAACAAGGAGGCAGAGGTTGCAGTGAGTGTCACTGCACTCCAGCCTGGGCAACACAGCGAGACTGTCTCAAAAAAAACAAAACCCTAAAATCAGTGTTACTACAGACTTATTTCTAGTGGCTCACCAATGTATAGTCTGTATACTCTTTTAGTCTGTATATAATGATTATCATTCTGAGACAATACCTGTATTTTGCTGATACATCTCCAGCCACTAAAAGTCCTAAAAACTGAAATGTTTAGTCAATGTTTTAAACCTGTACTAAAATTCAGATACAGGCTGGGTGCAGTGCCTCATGCCTGTAATCCCAGCACTTTGGGAGGCTGAGGTGGGCAGATCACTTGAGACCAGGAGTTTGAGACAAACCTGGCCAACATAGTGAAATCTTGTCTCTACTAAAAATACAAAAATTAGCTAGGCATGGTGGCACACACCTGTGATCCCAGCTAATCAAGAGGCTGAGTCCACGAGAATCTCTTGAACACGGGAGGCAGAGATTGCAATGAACCGAGATCTTGCCACTACACTCCAGCCTGGACAACAGAGCAAGACTCTGTCTAAAAAATAAATAAATAATAAAATAAAATAAAATTCATATAGATTTTTAGACTAAATAGTATCTTAAATATTCTGCAAGTCAATTTTCCTTCTGTTATAAAAACAAAGGCTAAATTCCCAAGTTATGATTTTTAGAGAAAGCTATATTTACATATTCTAAACACTATACTCCCTTAGTAACAATATCAGTCTACTAGAGGTTAATCACATAACAGTATGTAAGAAAACAGACAAGTTACAAAGTGCTATGCAAATATATCACATTATACACTGGTCAGAGACAACTATCAGGGTAAAAAACAAACATTTTAAGGTTTTTCCAAGTAAACCAACAGGAAAAATATATACATACAGAAATGCTGAGTTCAGTTGAAATTTTTTGTCCATTATCTTCCATGATGCCAAAACTTTAAAATTATAACCTATTACCACAGGCTAAATAATGACAAATAAAATTCATCAAACTTGACTTTACTTTTGACACTGGTATTTGTATATATTGTTTTCTAACTACTTCAGAAGTAGATACAGTACTCACGAAAAAGAGAAACAATATCTTGCACTTGAAATCCATAATAATCTCGTGGAAAATCCAAAAACCTTTTTTATATAAGTGAAAGAAATAAGTAGAAAGTAATTTACACTACAGATATAATAAACTCAATTTTATGATAGAAACCATAGCCTTGCCTAAATTAGTTCCCTCTTAAATGCTTAAGAAAAGCAAAATCTTGCTCAATAACATTTAACCAACTCTTTATAACCTACAGGCTCCTATCACATTCTAAGTTAAACAACTTTTCATTGTTTCTCCTTTTCTTTCTTCCTCAAGGTATCAAGTACCTATTTACTAAGAAAATACCACCTACAGTAGTATCTATTTTTAACTTGTTCTTTCACAGGCTGCAGAATTTCCATTCCTATATTCAAATAAAACCAAGAGTATTCAAATATTTTTTCACCTACACAAATATAAAACCTCTTTACATTCTAATATTTAGATTAAAATCATTCAGCAATATTGTACTCTTTAAAGAAATGCACTGATTTGGAAAACAAAATGTCTTAATATTTCTAAGATCTCTTTCCAATGTGTGGTACCAGGTAAGAATGAACTTACTCCTTCCCACTCTCCCATTTCCCCACACTCTCATGCAATTCTGCTCTACTTCATTCTGTTATGGTAACTTCCCACCACTTACAACAGTTACAGATATTCTACAAAGAACAGAGACTTGTGTCAAAGCCAGGTAGGGTCCACAGGCACTAATCATTAGTAAAGATTAAAAACTAAGAAGACTGGGGATAGACGTAAAACAAAATAGAGTTACCACACAATTCTCCAGATGGCAATCAGCCACCAGATATTTAAGACACACAATAGTCGGGCACTGTGATGAGCATTGGGCATGTACTGATGAACAAGGCAATCTGCTTCTTCATGACAGAAATAGATTACTGATCATGCCTGGCCAATTTTTGTATTCTTAGTAGAGATGGGCATTCATCATGTTTGCCAGGCTGGTCTTGAACTCCTGACCTCAGGTGATCTGCCCACCTTGGCCTCTCAAAGTCCTGGGATTACAGGTGTGAGCCACCATGCCCGGCCTGGAAAAATATTTTTAAAAAGAAAAGGAGAATACAGATTACACCAGAGAAGAATGCAACATAAAGATGAAGCAGAGATTTGATGATGCTGTCCTCGAATATAAGGGTGATGCAGGCACAAGCAAAGGAATATTGGCAGCCACCAGAAGCTGGAAGAGGAAAAGAATGGATACTCTCCCAGAGGAACCAGATGGAGTGAGGCCCTGCTGACAAGTTAATTTCAACTCAGTTATATTAATTTTGGATTTCTGACCTCCAGAACTATGAAAGAATAAATTGCTGTTGTTTTAAGCCACAAAATTTGTGATAATTTGTTACAGCAGCCATAAGAAATTAATGAGGATCTAAGTCTGTATTTTAAAAATGCAATTGTTCCCAATTCTATGCCTATTTTTTCTTCCCTAATGGAATGCTTCATGAATTTATATAGCATCCTTGAGCAAGGCCATGCTAATATTCTCCATAACGTTCCAATTTTAGTATATGTGCTGCCAAAGCAAGCATTCTATGTCTATTCAAGCAGAAAGCATTAAATACGTTTCAGAGAAAGACTGGATGAAATTAAGTTGCTATATTTTTAAAAATTAGTTATTAGGATGGTTTACCAAATAGTATGTAGAACAATTTCTTGCACATAGTATGCACTCGATAAATTTTTTTAAAAATATATGCTGGACTAAGTAACAAAACAAAGATACTACATGAATGAGAAATTAATCTAATAATCTTCTCATGGAAAACTAACCCATCCACTATTTGTTCACAAAACTAAATGTTTAACAGTAACATTTCCATAGAGAAAACAAGGACTTGGCCAATGTTACAAAGCAATTCTCCTACTACCACTTAGTTTGGAAAACATCAATTTGTTTTATTATTTTATTTCTTACTTTCTTATTGTATTATTTACTCTATTTTATATTTTTTAAGACAGGGTCTCACTCTGTTCCCCAGGCTGGAGTGCAGTGGCATGACCACAGCTCACTCCTGCCTCTACCTCCTGAGCTCAAGCCATCCTCCCACCTCAGCCTCTTGAGTAGCTGGAAACACAGACATGTGCCACCACACCTAGCTAATTTTTTTTTTAATTTTTTTTATTTGTAAAGATGGGGTCTCCCTATGTTACCCAGGCTGATCTCAGGCTCAGGCCATCCTCCTGCCTCAGCTTCCCACAGTGCTGGGATTACAGGCATGAGCCACCCTACCCAGTCTCTTTGCTGTTTTAAAAGATATTGGTAGGTGTGGGTAGGAAAAAAAAGAACATAAAAGGCGAAACAGTATAGATTGTCACTATTTTCATTAGTATCTTTGTTTTTATAACTTGAAATGTTAATAACATATAAGCTAGAAAAAGATTTTTCCCAATTTTAGGCTCTCTGTCCATACTAGACTATTCAAGTTGATTCCTTTAAACATAATTTATTGCTCAATCTCAGATATACTACATGTATCAAAACATGCCAACTGAAACGTATCTACATGTAGAAAGTAAAATATAACAAAATTACTCATTAAGATAGAGTTGCTCTCCAAGCACTAACATTAACAAGGTTCTAGTATTTTCCAGTGATTTTTCAAATGTTTAGGTATTAAAGCACACAAGAGCCAAGCACGGTGTCTCATGCCTGTAATCCCAGCACTTTGGGAGACCAAGGTGGGAGGATCACTGGAGCTCAGGAGTTCCAGACCAGCCTGAGCAACATAGTGGAACTCTCTCTGTCTTTACAAAAGATTTTTTAAAATTAGCTGGATGTGGTGGAGCGTGCCTATATTCCCAACTGCTCGAGAAGCTGAGGCTGTAGGATTGCTTGAGCCTGAGAGGTCAAGGCTGCAGTGACCTGTAATCACACCACAGCACTCCTTCTTGTGTGACAGACTGAGGCCCTGTCTTAAATAAATAAAGAATAGAAGGGTAATCGCAGCCTGAGGATAAACCTGAAAGGTGAGGGGCCTTAAAATAGTTTTCTCTGTAGCATTCATGAATGATTAAAAAAAACAATAATGTGAAAATAATTTAACTAAAACAGCATGTGGAATGAGCAGGTTTTTATAGATTATGGTCTGACAAACTGTCAAACATTCTTTTCTTTCCCCCCAACTTTTACTTTAGATTGAAGGTAAGGGGTTAGGTATGCACGTTTGTCACATGGGTAAATTGTGTGTCCTGGGGGTTTGGTGTGTAGATAGTTTTGTCACCCAGGTAATCAGCATAATACCCAATAGGTAATTTTTCAATCCTTACCCTCCTCCAACCCTGCACCCTCAAATAGACCTCAGTGTCTACTGTGTCCCCTTCTTTGTGTCCATATGCACTCAAAGTTTTGTTCCCACTTATAACTGTGAACATGCAGCATTTGGTTTTCTGTTCCTACATTAATTTGTTTAGAATAATGGCCTTCAGTTCCAACCATGCTGCAGCAAAGACCATGGCTCATTTGTTTTATAGCTGCACAATATTTCAGGATATATATGTACCATATTTTTATGTCCAGTTCACCACTTAGGGACATCCAGATTCGTTCTATGTCTTTGCTATTGTGAATAGTGCTGTGATGAACTTACAGTTCATGTGCCTTTATGGTAGAATAATTTATCTTCTTTTGCTGTCAAAGATTTTTAAACTTTAAAAAATCCCAGCTGCTGATTCTGTTTGGATAATCAATGTTAGATTACCACCTTCCCTTGAGAACAAGGTTCCAATATTTGAATACAAATGCTGTGTAGTTTTGTTTTTTTAACCAACACCTTTTCTAAACATGAAACTGCAACCACTTCCAGGTAAACCTATAGTCTCAGAAATTTATACATACTATAAGCTTAAGCTACAGAGAATATAAGCATATATTAATTATATTTTTTTTGAGATGGAGTTTTGCTCTTGTCACCCAAGCTGGAGTGCAATGGCGCAATCTCGGCTCACCGTAACCTCTGCCTCCTGTGTTCAGGCAATTCTCCTGCCTCGGCTTTCTGAGTAGCTGGGATTACAGGCACCCGCCACCACGCCCAGCTAATTTTTCATATTTTTAGTAGAGATGGGTTTTCACCACGTTGACCAGGATGTTCTCGATCTCTTGACCTCGTGACCCACCCGCCTCGGCCTCCCAAAGTGCTGGAATTACAGGCTTGAGCCACCGTGCCCGGCCCAATTATGTTTTTTCTACATTTACTGTTCAAGTCTCATGTCACTCTGCCTAAGTGAAGAGGGCAAGCTTCAGACACTCTCAACTCTAATCTAGCCTCCAAATAGTAGATGTCTTAATAAAACTTAGGTATGATCATATCCCTTCTGTTTTTGGTTTTTTGGGGTTGTTTGGTTTTAGTTGTTTGTTTTTGAGCCAGAGTTTCACTCTTGTTTACCCAGGCTGGAGTGCAATGGCGCGATCTCAGCTCACCGCAACCTCTGCCTCCTGGGTTCAGGCAATTCTCCTGCCTCAGCCTCCAGAGTAGCTGGGATTACAGGCACGCGCCACCGTGCCCAGCTAATTTTTTGTATTTGTAGTATAGGCGGGGTTTTACCATGTTGACCAGGATGGTCTCGATCTCTTGACCTTGTGATCCACCCGCCTCGGCCTCCCAAAGTGCTGGGATTACAGGCGTGAGCCACCGCGCCCGGCCAGTTTTTTGGTTTTTTTTGAGACTGAGTCTGACTGTCACCCAGGCTGGAGTGCAGTGCTGTCATCACGGCTCACTGTAGACTTCCTGAGTGAGCCTCGACCTGCTGGGCTCAATCCTTCTGCCTCAGCCTCCCAAGTAGCTGAACCTACGAGTGCATGCTACCACAACAAACTAATGTTTTTATTTTTTGTAGATCCAGGGTCTTGCTTCATTGCCCATGCTGGTCTCAAACTCCTGCCCACAAGTGATCCTCTTACCCAGGCCTCCCAAAGTGATGGGATTACAGGCATGAATCACTGTGCCTTGCCCTGTTTGTAAAGTTTAATTGACTTCTTACAAAATAGAGGATAGAATCCAAACTCCTTCTCATAAAACAGCCCTCATAATCTGGTCCCAACCTACATTTCCTGCCATAAACTGTTTTATTTTATTTTATTTATTTATTTTATTACCTGTCTCAATGTTGTTCTTTCACGCATTCACTAAACAAATATTCCTCCTTTTAAACAGCCCTTCTCCCTTCTCTATTTGTAGAACCTCTATATATCTTAAAGGACTCAAAATACAAGTCTCACAGAAGTTTCATATGTCTTCCAAGCAGACTGAATCTTTCCCTCTACTATACTCTCATGCCATTTTGCATGTACCTTTTATGATAGCACTCATAGATTGTATTATTTATTTTTTTATTTTTTTTGAGATGGAGTCTCGCTCTGTGGCCCAGGCTGGAGTGCAGTGGCATGATCTTGGCTTACTGCAACCTCTGCCTTCTGGGTTTAAGCAATTCTCCTGCCTCAGTCTCCTGAGTAGCTGGGATTATAGGCATATGCCACCATGCCCGACTAATTTTTGTATTTTTAGTAGAGACAGGTTTCACCATGTCGGTCAGGCTGGTCTTGAACTCCTGATGTGTTGATCCACCCACCTTGGCCTCTCAAAGTGCTAAGATTACAGCCATAAACCACTGCGCCCAGCCTGCACTCATAAATTTTATCAGACTAATTTGTTGACAAATGATATATGTTTTCTTCTTTTATTGACTGTATTTCCTGCTTCTTCATATCAGTATCTGTCATATACTAAGCATTTACTCTGTTAAACGTATAAAATAATAAATAAACTCCACAATATTTATTGTGGGAGAGTGATTTCTTCATAACTCTCCCTGTGTAGCAACATAAAAGACAAATGCTGGGGCTGGGCTTAGTGGCTCAGGCCTGCAATCCTAGCACTTTGGGAGGCAAAGGTGGGCGGATCACTTGAGCCCAGAAATCTGAGACCAGCCTGGGCAACATGGTGAAAGCTGTCTCTACAAAACATACAAAAATTACCCAGGCGTGGTGACGCATGCCTGTAGTCCCAGCTACTCGGGAGGTAGGAGGTGGGAGGATCACTTGAGCCAGGGAGGTAGAGATTGTAGTGAGTGAGACCCTGTTTCAATGTAAAAAAAAAAAAAAAAAAAAAAAAAGATAAATGCAGGTCAAAAATGGTTTACATTAAATGTTTTCTAATAACTGCAATAACTAGACTTCATGAGAGAAGTAAAAATAATAAAAGAATCCTGAAAACCTACAGCATGTCAGGCATTGTGCTAGGTGATTTTCAGGTATTATCTCGTTTAACCTGTAAAATGAGGTATTCATTTTACAGATTAAGAAACACAAGTTCTGAGATATTAAGTATATGGCTTGTCTTGCGTAACATGTCAGAGTTCAGACATGAACAAAGATTTATCTCAGTCAAAACCCATAGTCTTTGCAGTAAAGCCTATGTTTAAGCAAGGCTAAGGACTGATGACACCTGCAATTTCAACACTTTCAGAGGCCATAGCAGGAGGATCACTTGAGACCAGTTCAAGACCAGCCAGGCCAACATAACAAGACTTTGTCTCTACAAAAAATTATTTTAAAAACAGAAAACCATGTCCAAGTATTAGAGGGTCAGTCACCATAGTACATAAAAGTATGCCTTTGGTCTCAGACAATTCACATTCTGTCTCTACAACTTAGTAGGTACAGCAAATTACTTAATCACTCTGTCCCTCCTTTCCCTTATCTATAACATGGTGATAATTAATAGTATGTATTTTATAGAGTGGTTATGATTAAGGAATACAAGTCAAATAAAGTGATTACTATACTACAATGCCTTATTGTAGTATAATAATGCCTTATTCATTGAATACCTTTATGAAACCTACTCATGATAGAAAACACTATTAGAAATGCTGTTTGAAATTGGTTTTATAGTGCATGAGAATTTAGAAAAAAAACTTTTTATATAACTTTTACAGAAAAAAACTAGGCTCTGAGTAGATATAAAGTCATATGTGGACACTTTGTAGAATGAGCTTGTTTCTTAGTATTTTATCTGACATGACCTCAAAGTTTCAGCTTCAATTAATCTAATTTCTACTACTCTACCTGACCCACCACACCTTTTCAATCAAACTTCTTATCTCTAAGTACAGCAACTTATCCTTTTTTTTTTTTTTTGAGACAGAGTCTCACTCTGTTGCCCAGGCTGGAGTACAATGGCATGATCTCAGCTCACTGCAACCTCCACCTCCCAGGTTCAAGTGATTCTCCTGCCTCAGTCTCTTGAGTAGCTGGGATTACAGGTATGTGCCACCACACCCAACAAATTTTTGTTTTTTTAGTAGAGACAATGTTTCACCATGTTGGTCAGGCTGGTCTCGAACTCCTGACCTCGTGATCCACTCGCCTCAGCCTTCCAAAGTGCTGGGACTACAAACATGAGCCACCGCACCTGGCCCAGCAACATATCTTAAACTGGCTCGTTGGTTTCATTTTAGATGCTATCTCCAATACAGATGATATACTAGAAAGAGCTCTGGACAGACAATCTGGATAGAGAAGCTAAAAAACATTCTAGCTTCTAAAGTCATTTTCACACTTACGTATAAAACACTCAAATTTATATAACAAGATACATTAAAGAAAAAATAATTTAAAATATATAACCAGTTATACTCCTTCATTAATAGAGGTAATTAAGTTGAATGTACTTAAGAATACATTGCTTTTGTGAGGATTAAAATCTAATGTTAAGCTGCCAATTCATATTCACCTGAACCTTATTTAATAAAGTCATACCCATGAACGACATTATTAAATGTCAGTCTGATGATGTTCAAGCTATTTCAGTTACCTAGGGAGGTCTAAACTTACACTAAATTTCTGGCGCTGACATACACACACCCGCATACACACACATCCATAGTTGATTAACATCAAATAGAAACTTCACTCTATACTTTTCAGGAAGGGAAAAGCTCCCAAGTTATACTTCATGGCTATTGAACAAGTTTATGCTTTCAAATAAGATTCTTTCCATTGATTCTATTACTTATCCAATCCCTCGTTCAACATGTTGAGTTTCTACTGAGTAAAAGGCACATTGCAGGACACAAATTATATCAATTTCAAATATAATTGAGGCAGCCTAAGAAGTATATATAGGACCTAGGGCAAATTATTTGGCCTGTCTGAACTTTGATATTCTTATCTATAAAATTGCGGTGATAATAACTGTCCTATCCCAACGATTTATTACTAGGATCAAATGAAGTACTACAACATGGAACAGAAAAGAATTTTCAAATACTAGTAGGGTTCTATAACAACTCAAGAGCTCATCTTGTCTCCAGGAGCACAATAAGAGACTGTTCCATTATGTGATTAATGTAACAAATATTTAAGAGTTTAATATATCATGATGTGTTCACATACTAAAGTGCTTTAAAAATGTAGTAAGTACAGGCTAGGAGCAGTGGCTCACGACTGCAATCCCAGTACTTCAGGAGGTGAGGTGGGTGGATCACTTGAGGCCAGGAGTTCGAAAGCAAGCTGGTCCACATAGCAAAACCCCGTCTCCACTAAAAATACCAAAATTAGCCTGGCGTGGTGGTACACACCTGTAGTCCCAGCTACTGGGGAGGCTGAAGCAGGAAAACCTCTTGAACCCAGGAGGCGGAGGTTGCAGTGAGCGGAGATTGCGCCACTGCACTCCAGCCTGAGTGACAGAGCAACACTCCATCTCAAATAGAAATTTAAAAAGTAATAAATACAAACGCTTTCCTTAGGTAGGGATAATAAAACTCTGAAATAACCATAGTACAATTCAAATTTAACAAGTATTATAAGAGTTATAAAGCCTAGCACACATGAAAGAAAGAATGGACCGGGCGTGGTGGCCCATGCCTGTAATCTCAGCATTTTGGGACGTAGAGGCAGGTGGATCACTTGAGATCAGGAGTTCAAGACTAGCCTGGTCAACATGGTGAAAGCCCTTCTCAACTAAAAATACAAAAAATTTAGCTGGGCATGGTGGTGGGCACCTGTAATCCCCGCTACTTCAGAAGGCTGAGGCAGGAGAATCGCTTGAACCTGGGACGTGAAGGTTGCAGTGAGCTGAGATTGTGCCATTGCACTCCAGTCTAGGTGACAAGAGCAAAGCTCTGTCTCAAAAAAAGAAAGAAAAGGAAAGGAAAAGAGAATGAACTGGATTCATGGCAGATTTCAGAAAGCTGCATAAGAGGTGGCATTTAAGGCATTAAAGAACAAGTCAAATTTCTACAAAGACAGTAAGGAAGGCCTTCTTTGTTTCTTCTTTGTAGGAAGAAAGGATAAAAACAAAGACCAAGGCAGATAGGCATATAGCATGTTCAGAAATTGGACGCCTAATGAACAACTTCAGTTTGGCTAAAAAATAGGATATGTGGAATAAAGTAATATTTGTCTAAAAGAGTAAAAGAATCCAGTTTCAAGCTTCTGCAAAAAGAAAAAAAGAAAGAAAAAAGAATTAAAAGATCATATCGATTTTACTGGAGCCATGGACAGACTCAAATTTTGAAGGAAAAATCTGAAGCCTCCCTAAGTAATATAAAGTTTGTTAAATGCCTCCCTAAATAATTTATTTTTATTCTGAAGCCGGTCGAGAGTCACTGCGTATTTCTGAGGAAAGAATAACCAAAAAAAGAAGGCTTAAGATCTTTGGCTTTAAAAGTAATATGGAGGCAAATGAGGACAAGTCCAGTTTGGAAGTTATTGCTATAGTGCAAGTAAGAAGAGGAAAGACGAGCATATTTAGCACAGAGGTAGTGAGAATGAAAAGGGGAAGAACTAAATTTGAGATGCTGAAGAGAGAATCAACAGTTGGGAGGAAAGCTAGCATCAGAAATGGAAGTTTACAAGCCATTCCCTTGAAACAGCTGAGTTTACCTGTGAAAGTGAGTAAGAACACCAAGTAAGAAACTGCACCAAACTTCGTCTTTAACTACCAAAGCCAAATGTTGACTTCAAAAACAAAAAGACTTAAATTTTCAAATACTGCATTTAAGAGAACATAATAACAGATCCAGTCTTCTTCTATAAAGCTACACACCCAGACGTCTGTTCTGATGAGAATCTCACCCCGCCTCAAAAGTCCTTGTGTTCTTACTCGCCTTACCAAGGGCAGCCTTTCCATTTCTTTTAAGTTCCTGCGGCTTCTCGAACTCCAGGTGCTGGTCGGGTGGATCCGTGCCTACCACAGGGCTCAACGCCGAGTGGCAGCTGAAGGGATGCTCACTGAAGGAACACCCCCGACTGACCCCAGCCCGGCCCACAAGTCACTCGCTCCGCACGCCCCAGACGCTGAGGCACACACTGCCGTCTTCATTCGCTTGACACACCCCTCTCCTTAGGCCTTTTTTCCTCCTCCACCCAGCACATTCCGCACGTCATCCCTCGGAGTTACGACGTGTCACCTCACCCACTCCCACCTCTACTTAGCTAGCACTGTGTTACAGGTCTTCGATACCGTCCCCTTCACCCCTACAGAGTTCATATCTGCCCCCTCGCATGCCTCCTCCTCTTTTACCTCTAACCTTCGGGAGCTGCCCAAGCCGCCCCGCTGCCGCGGGCCTCCCGGTTCCCGCCCCTCCCCAGGTGCGCTCAGGACTCACCTCCCGCGCAGCTCGGCCGGCTGAGCCCACCACCGGGGGCCGCGGTTCAGCTCCGCCGAGGGCCCCAGGCTGCCGAGCCCGCTGGGTCCAACGCGACCGCTGACCCGCAGCGCCGCCCGCTACCGTTGTCTTAGCCGTAGCCGCCGCCAGCTCTGTGCAGCCCAGGCGTTTCCGGGTTCCCGCGGTCCCGTCCCCCAAATACTCCGGCTTCCGCCTCGACTCGGGCAAATACCGTTCCCGGCTCGGCTATGGCAGCCCCAGCTCGGCACTTTGTCAGCTAAGGCGACGCACCTGGGCTGCTCAGCTGTCAGCCCCCGGTTCCTGCTTCACCGTCGCATGAACGCCTGGGGCACTGCTTTCTGCTAGACCCCTCCTGAGGGCGCGAGACAGATGCAGTGACACTCGTCGCGGGCCTCTGCGGGACTGTCTGTCTGCAGCGGGTGCCAAGGTGTCCGCTGCGAAAGGAAGGGCAAAGTCCTTTGGGACAAAGAACGCTGAGAGGAACGGAAAGATGGATTTTGAAAGCAAACGAATCTGCTCCTAAAAGCGACTGTCCCTGACCTGAAAACAAACCAGATTAGCTATGGCAAAGGCTGCCAACCAATAAGTGGTCTGGAAAAAGACCTGTTCTTCCACTTCTCCCACCCTGCTGAGACCTTGAGACCGATGGAAACCCAAAGCCGTACCACGACTGGGCCTAGTGCCATCAACGGGGAGAGGAAAAAGAAAGCTGGGGCCAGAGGATTTCAGAGTTTTGAGGGGCCAACCCCTTCCTGGCTGCATGGATCACACAGCATTACCTTTAAAGGCCTTCCAATAGCTATGTTGGAAACCCTCTAACCATTGCAGCCCATTCAGGTGATGAACAGGCTGAAATCAGTACCCCAGGTTCAGCTGGATTATCTAATAGGAGAACCGGATTATCTCTTTTTTGTTAACTCGGGGCTGCTACAAATTAAGCCTATGTTGCTTTATATTGCAAAGGATTAAACTATTTCCAAGAACGACATGCTTAGAAAAAAAGTGAGATGGTAGAAAAATCAATGTGTTAGAGTGGAAAACAGAGGCTGGCAGATTGCTTGAGCCTAGGGCATTGCAACCAGACTGAGCAACATATTGAGACCCCCATCACTACAAAAATAAAAATTTAAACATGTGCCAGCCGTGATGGCACATGCCTTTAGTTCTAGCTACTCAGGAGGGAGGCTTAAGTGGGACGATTGCTTGATCCCAGAAGTTCAAGGTACATTAAGCCACGATGATGTTACTATACTCCAGCCTGGATGATAGAGCAAGACGACCCTGTCTCAAAAAAAAAAAAAACAGTAGCCTAGTAGCCCTGCAAAACTGTCCTTGTAGGGCATATTTGCATCTGTAGAGAATCTGCGTTAATGTAGCCAGGCTTTCTCTGAGGCCCTTCCTTGTCCAGATCTAGGAAAGATTAACTGAGATTCTGACACCTTTAAAGGTATGAAAGAAACTTCTACCATCTATTTGCTCTGAGGGCTGCTACCCACCTTTGCTAGTCAGGCCTCCACTTCTCTCCCTCTGGTAACTTGTTTTGCTGCTATAACCTGATTTACCACCATAATCTATTTTTGGCCACGCTTGGAGGTCTATTCTTTCTAAAGATGGTATATACCCTTCTGCACTACATGGGGGTTAAGGGTAATCACTCTGTGATTTCTCATGCACACTAATAATTTCTATGCCTTTTCTCTTTTTATTTTACTTTTTTGAGATAGGGTCTCATTCTGTCAACAAAGAAGGAATGCAGTGGCATTCAATCCTTTTCATGGCTCACCGTAGCCTTGACCTCCAAGGCTTAAGTGATCCTCCAGCCTCAGCCTCCTGAGTAGCTGGGACTATAGGCATATGCCACCATACCTTGCTAATTTTTTTTTTACTTTTTTGTAGATATGGGTTCCCACTATTTTGTGCAAGCTGGTCTCAAACTCCTGAGCTCCAGTGATCTTCTTGCCTCAACCTCCCAGAGTATTGGGATTACAGCTGTGAGCCACTATGCCCAGCCTGCCTCTTGTCTTATGAATCTAACTTTTGTCAGTTGATTATTCAGCCAACCTTCAGAGGGCAAAGGGGAAGCTACAGAAGCTCACCAAGGCAAGAATGTCAGCTGAGCCTGAACTACAAGTCTGGACACCCAACAATTCAAGTCAGTACCCAAGGTCTGCAGTTCCTTTAATGAGAACAATCCTATTGCCCTTGACTGGTTTGTATATATTTTCTCATTTAACTCTCACAAAAGGCCTATAAAGTAAGCATTAGTACTTGTATTTTACAGAAAGAGAAACTGAGGTTTACAGGCAGATAACTTGCTGAAGTTCCCCCATCTACTGAAAGATAAGCTGGGATTTTAATCTTTATTTGTCTTCCTTTAAAGTCCATATTTTAAAACATTACACTTAACTGCCAAGAAAAAATGAGACAGAAGAGTAAGGTGGCAGACAGTAAAAGCAGCAATAGAGATAAGAAGTATTAGTGAAGAAAAGAGATGAACATGAAGAAAGAGACAAACAGCAATCTGGGCACTAGCTTTGGCTTCTATATCATGGCAGATCTTACAGATGAAATTTTGGCACCCTGAAGACAGACAAATGAGAACAAGATTATCAGTCTAAAAGCAGCCAGGGCCAAACAGGGCTTTGTACCTCAGTGGTACCTAATTAGAATTGTCAGATAAAATACTGAGGCCTTGTTAAATTTAAATTTCAAATAAACAATGAAGTATGGAGTATTTGGGATATACTTTACAAAATTCATTGATTATCAGAAATTCTAATTTAACTGGGTATCTTGTGATTTTATTTGCTAAATGTGGCAATCCTATTGAAGGCATGACTGCGTTACGATACTGCACAGTAACAGGTTTCCTATGGTGTCCCAGAGAAATTAAGACCAGATCAAATTATGTTTGGTGCAGTTGACACTGCAAGCATTATGCACACACAGTGACATTAACTAGATCAATATCTTCAGACAGTGCCAAGCTGGTAGACTTTAATGGATAAAGGTCAAAGGTTGTTAGAAAACCCAGGAGAAAATAAAGACAAGAAAGAAAGAAAGAAAGAGGGCAGGGACTACTGTGATACACATTTTCAAAGAATTTCTGCTCAAAATGGTTAAAATATTGAAAAAAAATTCAATGCTTAGATAATTAAACCTCAGGTTACTAGGTGTCACCAAATATTTTGTTCCTATGCCATCATAGTTTTCAAAACTATTTAATTGAAATTACAGCTTAGGAGCAGGAAAAACCAGTTTGTTGTTTCAAGCTGCCAAATCACAGTAATTCAATCTGGATTTTTCTTGTTAGTTCTTGGCTTGGGGCGGGGGAACACTATGTGTAAACAAAACTGGAAAGGATTGCCAAAGATTATCTACTTGTCCATCATTTACTTCTAAGAAGAGCTGAATGAGGTTACTTCCATTAGACGAGCTCAACTGTCAATATAAATATGATCCTTTGCTTCTGAGATGGATCTGTAGAGTTTAACATTCTCTAGAACATGAATCTAATAGGTTTGAAATGAAACTTACTTTTCATTTCTGAGGAGGGGTATTTCAGTGGCTTTTGGCTGGTTTTCCCTATAGTAGACTTACTCTTTGAGTCAGGGGCCCAGGAGGAGATTTCATGGAAGTGAGGCCCTCTCCTCCCTCTGTACATTCAGAAACTGGAGAAACTACCCTGCATGATTGCTGCCCTGTGGGGCTTGTTGATCAAAGCTTCAATTATCACTTGATGCTGTAAAGTCTATTTGGGAATCAATGAATTGCTTTTATCTCAGAGTCAGAGTTAAATATAAGTTAAAGCCTTGGGGATTCTCCTGTATCTAGCACGGCTACCTGATAAAATCACCACAGTTTCCTTTGTGGAAGTCTTGGAGAAAGGTACACAGTACGTATAGTATGTGAGGTTAACTTGTGATGTTAAGGGAACCTCTTAAATCTAGGAATGGGGACTACAACTCTAGTAAAGTTGGGCCTCTATTTACCAGTCCTAGTACACATTTGATTGTGAAGTTCATATGAAATTGGATTGTGCTGTTCACCATTTCCCACTTTCAGCCTGCAGGGCACTTTTTAAAGTAGATTGCACTCTCAGGCTCTCTTGTGGTTGAGTGAGGCCAGATGTCTAGTTCTTGCCAATTCTCTCAGGGCCAGTGCATTGAATTGCCAATTTGTGACTGTTGAGAATTCTCTTTCTCTCTGCTTTTGAATCTGGCAGTGTGCAGCATCATGACTGCTTCATGATTAGACTGTATCCTAGAATTAGGAGATGTATAACCTGCAGTAGACATACAAAATGAACAATACATTTTTATTATTTTATGTTACAAATGAGCGAAGAAAAATAGCTCAGGGCAGTCTGAACTTTGGGAGTTATACAGGCCCAAAGAGACACGAGCATGGGACTTTGATCATTCTTGCCTTCCATCCCCCAACTCCCACTCTACAACCATGCTTGGAGGCAATTGTTCAAAGTCATTTTGTTCCTGACTAGCTACCTCACCCATGATCTTTGTGCTCCTAGAATTTATGATGCAAAACAACAATAACAACAACAACAACAAGGTATAGTCAATCAATAGTTTGTGTTATTTTAAAGTAAATTCTTGGCAAACAAGTCAGGAACTGACTCTTCCTTTAAAAATCCATTTGTAACTTCTGCTAATCAGATTGTATATTCAAGGCAACTTGAATCTTCCTGAGTTGCAATCCTCAAACTTGGTCCAAATAAACTCTCTACTTACATTAATTTTGCCTCAGCTTCTTTATTTGAGGTCACACTAAGATTTTGCCAATTTCCAAGCACTTTGGAGTTGGAAAAAAATGTTTTTGACAAAACCTAGCATATATTGATTAACACAAAAACTGATGGCCAGAGGCGGGTATATTTTAACAAAAGCATGACTTTTGTGACTTAGACTTAGGGGATCAAGTAATGGGGGCAAGCAGACTGATTTTAGCAGCTGGAAGGATGATAACCCATGGTGTCCTATGGAATAGTTGATAAAACTGTGACCTACAATTACTTAAAAGTTAAATAATGAACATAGTAAGTTTATAGCTCCAGCAGAAGATACTAGAAAACAAAATGTTAATAGCATGTGTAGATTAATGTTGAATGTATTTGAAAGATACTTCATGAAAGAGAAATACCCAAAAAATAACTAACTAATTTGTAAGCAGGAATGCAGAGGAATAGAGAACAGGCCGGGCGCAGTGGTTCATGCCTATAATCCCAGCACTTTGGGAGGCCAAGGCGGGTGGATTACGAGGTCAAGAGATCGAGACCATCCTGGTCAACAAGGTGAAACCCCGTCTCTACTAAAAATACAAAAGTTAGCTGGGCATGATGGTGTGCACCTCTAGTCCCAGTTACTTGGGAGGCTGAGGCAGGAGAATTGCTTGAACCCAGGAGGCGGAGGTTGCGGTGAGCCAAGATCATGCCATTGCACTCCAGTCTGGGTAACAACAGTGAAACTCTATCCCAAAAAAAAAAAAAAAGAGAGAGAGAGAGAACATAGAAATTCAGGAACTTGTAGAGTTGACAATAACAAATACTTTTCTAATGGAAGTCTTTAGTAATAGTTTTAAAAAGGCTATTCAAACTATGCCCTTAGTCAAGAATCAAATCAGGCCTATCCCTGTCACACCTATCTTTAAAATCTCTAAATAGATTGAGATATCACCCAATAAGTCCTTTCAATTGGATGAAATGGCTTAGAAAACAGGAAATAAAGGTGTTGGTCTCCCACTAAGCTTGATAAGCTCAAGGTACCTGGAATTAAATAGATAGATAAATGGAGTTATGTCAAGGAAAGAACAGTGGTATGGCTATTGGCAAAGGAGGCTGACTGGAATCTAAGAGATAAGAAACCAGTAATGTTAATAAGATATTGCCAAAGGAGCCAAGAGCCTGGACAAAATTTAACACGTCTCTTTGGCCTACAGCTCTCTATACACAGGAAATGAGCGAAGAACACTGATTAGCCTCCAAAGAGTACATATTCTTCAATACCCTTTTCAGATATAACTAAAAAACGTGATAAAGGAAGGACTCTCCCCCAGAAGGTCAAGTCAAGGGACGTAAAGAACAGTGAATTGGAAACCCCCTTCTATAGGGCAGAATTAGCATCTAATTCAAGAAATATTTACTATTACCTACACCCAGGGTAGTAGGACTTCACAATGTGTTGCCACTGAGCAGTGTCAGCTATTTTACTTTTTCCCAATGACTTGCCATGTCTCTTCCCTCTAGTACACTTTCTGTGATCTAAGAATTTGCCTATTCTAGATATTTCATATGGATTATCATATAATATTTGACCTTTTTTATTTAGCTTCTTTCATTTAGCACCATGTTTTCAAGGTTCATCCATATTGTAATCTGTATGAGATTACACCGTGCCTTCTTCTGGCTGAACAATATTCCATTTTATGGATATACTACATTTTATGTATCCCTTCATCCATCAGTAGACATTTGAGTTGTTTCTACCCTTTGAGTGTTATGAATAATGCTGCTATAAACATTTATGTACAAGTATCTTATCTGTTTAAGTCCTTGTTTTTGTTTTGGTTTTTTTTCACTCTGTCACCCAGGCTGGAGTGGAGTGGTGCAATCTCAGCTCGCTGCAACCTCTGCCTCCTGGGTTCAGGTGATTCTCCTGCCTCAGCCTCCCTAGTAGCCAGGACTACAGTGGCTGTACCCCTACACCTGGCTAATTTTTGTATTTTAAGTAGAGACTGGGTTTCACCATATTGGCCATACTGGTCTCGACCTCCTGACCTCAAGTGATACTCTCTCCTTGGCCTCCCAAAATGCTGGGATTACAGGCAATAGCCACCGTGCCCAGCCGAGCCCTTGTTTTCAATTCCTCCAGTTATTTAAGTAGCAAAGGAATGCTGACTTATATGGCAATATTATGTTAATTTTTTTTTCAGTAGCAATAAGGTCTCCCAATATTACCCAGGCTAATCTCAAACTCCTGGCCTTTAAAAAATTTTTTAATATTTAAAAACTGGACACTAGGCAAGATGGCTGATACCTGTAATCCTAGCACTTTGGGAGGCCAAGGTGGGCAGATTAGGAGTTCAAGACCAGCCTGGGCAACATAGTGAAACCCTGTCTCTACAAAAAAGTACCAGAAAAATTAGCCAG